AACAACCCTAACCACAAATCCCAAGCCTAACCAGTGTCAATGACTGTAGCATTGTAAGGAGCCTTCCGTGGAATTCAGCTCACAAAGGGTTTGTTTTCATTAGGCAAGTTTTATAGCGTCCATCCTTTCTTTCCCCCTCCGCTCCCAGTTGCTTAGTTTCAAGAATCAGCAAGGAATGTTTACATATTAATGATGGATTAAGTGTGTTGTGGGCACCTGCTACAACAAAAGTGGGAAATAATTATATAACTGGGATTAGGCCAGGAAGCTTGTTATTTCCCAACTTGGAAGTATAACTAGGAAGTGCTAACTTATCTAAGCAGTCTCTGCTCCAGACGTTAATTTAAGAATGTATCCTGTGTGGAGTTTTCAATCACACTGTCCATCGTATCAATGGAACCAAGTTAGCTAGAAGCTCCATTCCTACATCCTTACTGCACCGTTCCCTGTTGTGCTTTCCTAATCTGTACCACTCAAATCACCATTTCCTCTGGATACACAGACATATTTCCAATATTTGTCTTGTCTATCAGTTAAAATTTCTCTATCTGAAGAAAGCAATGAGCTCTCCTTCCATTTCCTCCTTCTTGCTATTGGCAAGTACGGGTCTTACTCTACCCTGCCTCGGTCAGGCCTTATTTCAAATACTGATGAAGCAGTGCCTGAAGTGCTGCTGGAGGTTGACAATGTACAAACGTGACCTAGCACAGCTTAGAAGCACTACTAAGGCCTACCAAAGCCTCAGTACATCTCTGTCCTTATTGCATCTGTGGAGAGCAGTCCAGCCACCCTATTCAAAGTGACTCAGACTCTGTTTAAGGAGGGCCCAGAAGTTCACCTGCAGGACCTCGTAGGGCACAGGTCGGCAACCTGCGGCTCCGGAGCCGCATGCAGCTCTTTGAGCTTTCCCATGTGGCTCCCAGCCTGCTCTGCCATTTGCAGAGAGAGACAGAGACAGAGAGAGGCACTTGCGCTTCCCTGCTTCTCTCTCTCTCTCTGTGTCTCTTTCTCTTTGTTTGTGTGTTTGTGCGCGTGCGTGCGTGTGTGTGTGTGTAAAAGAGAGTGGACTCACGGTGTTCTCCGACAAGCTGAAAAGCTTTGGGGGCGGGGCTCCAGGAAGCAGGAAGGGCAGGAGAGAGCTAGCTAGCCCAGCTATGCTGACTCAGGAATTCTGGGAGTTGAAGTCCATGAGTCATAAAAGAGCCGAGGTTGCCTACCCGAGCTTGTTGGAGAACAGCTTGAAGCTAGCTTACCAGGTGAGCAGAAGATCAGAGAGAGGGAGAGAGGGGGGGAGAGAAAGAGAGAGAGGGGGGAAGAGGACTGGCAGACCAAGGGCAGAAAGAGAGAGAGAGGGAGGGCGGGAGAGGGAGGGAGAGATAGACAGAGAGACCCTTTTGACATCTAAAATGAATAATAAAGGTAAAAAAGGATATATGCAGTGTTATCTTCATTTTAGATATCAAAAGGGTTTTGTGGCTCCCAGTGTTTTGTTTTCGGTGGGAAACGGGTCCAAGTGGCTCTTTGAGTGTTTTGGGTTGCCTACCCCTGTCAGTTGGAATCCAGCCTTGGTACAATTCCTAGGTGGTATCTGGGACACATGCCATGCCCTGTTACCTGGGATGACTTTGATCCTGTTGGGCCAGATGGACAGAATCCTCGCAAGTTTATTCTGATCTCTCCTGACCGGCAAAGGTCTCCCAGAGGATGATGCGCGGCTGGGTTCTAACAACGGTAAACCCTTGAGCGACGGGGTTGTCCCTTTGCCACTTGCTGGGCTCATCCCTTTCTCAAGGAACTATCTGTAGACCCAACCATACTAGATGATTTTCGTACTGTACCCGGCCTTCTATTTTTAGAGAAGGATGTTGAGAAAGCGGCTGCACAGCAGCTTGAAAGGATCTCGGATGAAGCAGATTATCCGGACCCCTTTCGGGCAGCTTCAGGCCTGGAACTGAAACAGCGCTGCTTGTGCCTGCCTGCTGGTGGGATGGTGGCCAGCGCCCTCCTCCTCGACCCCCTCGCTCTTCAGCAACACCATCCCCACCAGCTGGGCACAGCCTTGGGCGGAGGCCCCGGAGCGGGCCGCGCTGCCTTCTGCTCCTCCTCCTCCGGCCTCTCCACGTGAGGCTGGTCTCGGGGGTCCTCGCCGCCCTCCACCCCCCTCCCGTCTTCCGCGGGAGGAGGCTGCCCGGAGGCCGGGATGGGGAACCCAGCTGGCAGGGCCAACTTCGGGGTTCTGGGGCCTGCTGGCAACCCGGGGGTTCGTCGCCCCTCGTTCAGGATTTTTGGGGGGGAAGGTGGGGGGCTGCGCTGCCCCAGACGGACCACGGGGCGCAGTCTCCGAGGGGACTCGCGACACGGGAGAGCCGCGATCAGACAGACTTAGCGGCGGCCATCAAGCGCCAACCCGACGCGTGGATCGTCTATAGCGGTCCGGGAAGGCCCGGTCCTCCGGGAGGGGCTGTCGGACGACGACGACTTGCCCCCCACCCCCCCGCCGCCGCCGGGGAAACGTAGGAGAGGCTGCGAGGGCGGGTCTCGCGAGCGCCACCCAGAGCGTAGGCGCGGCAGTCTCCGGCCCCGCTTCCAGGCCCGGCCGCGTTTCCCCCCAGGCGCACTCCGATGATGCCACCGCGGGCCGGCTCAACGGCTTCCGGCGGAGAACCGTCACTTCCGGGTAGTGAGGCGCGGCGGCCGCCATCTTGGGCGGCTGCTGGAGGCGGCGGCAGGGTGGGCGCGCGCGATCGGCGGCGACGCTGCCGCTCTGTTTTCCCCTCCCCTCCCCTCCCCCCCACCGGCCATGGCCGGGCAGTTCGACGCGGAGGACCAGGCGAGCTGGTACTGGGGGCGGCTGAGCCGGGCGGAGGCGGTGGAGCTCCTGCAGGGGCAGCGCCACGGCACCTTCCTGGTGCGGGACTCGGGCAGCATCCTGGGCGACTTCGTCCTCTCCGTCTCGGAGAGCTCGCGCGTCTCGCACTACATCGTCAACAGCCAGGGCGGGGGCGGGGCGGGGGCGGCCCCCCCGGCACCCGGTGAGTCCCCCCTCCCCGCATTCCTTGCCTCCCCCCTCCCTCCCTCTTTTTCCGGGTTCTGCCCCGCCTCCGCCGCCCGGGCCCGCTCGAGGGAGCGTCTGGGAGGCCTCTCCTTCGCCCGGCTGAAAAACTCGCTTTTGCACTTGCCCATCCCTAAAATCCCCTCGTGGTCTCCCGTCCAGGCATTGAGCAGGACCGGCTGCTTGTGTTGTTTGAGATGAGCCGGCGTGGCCTGTGTTGCCAGCCGCTACTTCCGTGTAGTTGAACGGATGCTCTTTGGCAGTCTGAATGTGGGTCTTCTCCTCGTAAAAGCCCTTCCTTTTGGGCAACTGAAGCCCCAGTGAGCTGCCTGCCCTCTGGGCTGCAGGGCGAGGATTCGGACCCTTCCTGTGAATCCGAGTTACCTCCGAAGAGCTTCCACTTGATTTTGCTGCTTGTAAAGTGGATTTGTGCATACGTTGCATGCTAAATGTACAGACTCATAATGATGGTACTGCAAAGTAACATATTTATTTAGATTTTCATTTTTAAGAAACAAAATGGGTTATTGTTTGAATGCTAACTGTTCTTAGTGTTGCCTGTTTTGTTTCATTATTTCCCTTTTTGTCGCCCCTCCCTCTCCCCCTCCTGCAGGGTTGTCTCCTAAGTTTCGGATAGGTGATCAAGAGTTTGACTCTTTACCGGCTTTGTTGGAGTTCTACAAAATACACTACTTGGACACTACAACATTGATAGAACCTGTTTCGAAATCAAAGCATAACAGTGATGCGCAGCTCAGACAGGAAGAAGTTGAATATGTACGTGCTCTTTTTGACTTTAATGGCAATGACGAGGAAGATCTCCCATTTAAGAAAGGAGACATACTGAGGATCTGGGAAAAGCCCGAAGAGCAGTGGTGGAATGCCGAAGACGGTGGCGGCAGGCGAGGCATGATACCTGTTCCTTATGTCGAGAAGTATAAACCTGCCTCTGCTGCAGTTTCCGCTCCGATTGGAAGTAACCAGGATAGTACCCACCCACAAGTATTGGGTGGGCCAGAACCAGGTCCCTATGCCCAGCCTAGCATCAATACTCCACTCCCCAACCTTCAGAACGGGCCGATACTTGCCCGGGTTATCCAGAAGCGGGTCCCTAATGCTTATGACAAGACAGCCTTGGCCTTGGAGGTACGTAGTAGTGCAGTGCAGAGAGAACTCTCACTCACATTCCCCCATTTTGAAAGGAATGGGGGAACCCTTCGGTTGTTAATTTGCAAGTAGCAAGGCTTCCCATCACTGATGCTGGTGTTCCCCCCAAATGTAGCATGCAGAAAGATTAGCGTGATCTTCTTGAAATGGACAGTATTTCTGCACTGTGAATGCTGTGTGTGTGTGTGTTTGTTCCGTGAGAAGCCCCTAATTACTTAAGTTCTGTCTGAAGCGTGTTTCAGAGGAAAAGTTGCTACTGTGAAAAAAAATTAGTTTGACCTTTTATGCCCAAGTTCATGGGCCATACTGCTTAGAGGGTTTATACATATTAACTATTTTCTTGGATGTCAACTAAATGTGTCCCAGCTTGATTGCTTCCAAAACAACAGAATAAGGCAGGAAATGGCACTGGAAATAGTTGGGGTGCTATTTCTCTTGGGAACTGATTGCAGAAGGTCCTCAACATACGACCACAATTGAGCCCAAACTTTATGATGTTAAGTGACAGATTTGTTGAGTTTTGCCCCATTTCTTGGCACATTTAATTGAATCACTGCAGTTGTTAAATTAGTATCACGGTTGTTAAGTGAATCAAGGTTCCCCATTGACTTTGCTTGTTAGAAGGTCACAAAAAGGGGATCACATAACTCTGGGACACGGCAACCGTCATAAATGTGAGTCAGTTGTCAAGCGTCCAAATGTAAATCACGTGACCAAAAGTGATTTACGACCATTTGGTCGTAAGTCACTTTTTCATAGCCATTGTAACTTCAAACGGTCACTAAAAGAACTGTTGTAAATCGAGGACTACCTGTACTTACGTTTCCTTGGCCAGATTGTGTTGCTTGAATTGCTTCTATACTTACATGAAACAAACACTATGACTGCCTATTAGTAGCTCAGAGTGTAAACTGGCTCTCTGGTGCCTTCTGCTTGCCTTGGGAGGAATCCCACAGTGGGCTGTTAAGGAACATTAATTGCGACAATCTTGGCTTATATATTTAAAGGGAAATACACCCTTCTTCCCAGAATATTACTTAGTTCTCCATCTGGGATTGTTCTGTAATTGTTTCCGAAGTCATTACCGTTAAGCAGAACTGCCAGAATGATGTGCATGACAGCAGAGCTCTGACTTTTCCTCTGTCAAATGGGCAGGCTTAGAGATGTAGTTCCAGAGATGAAGAAAATAATACATCAGTAATGTGCAAAATTCTGGTCATCTTTAACTTTTAGTATTTGAGTCGCTTTCTCTGGGCGTTTGGGTAAGGTAGATCATAATTTTTGTTGAAAGTTTATTGAGTAGCAAAGGCAAATTATCTGGCTCAGTTCTTTGCTTTCTGGAATAAAAGGAACTTTACTCCACAGCCCTGCCATCTTTTGGAACAAAACCTGAGATTCAAATAGCCGGTGTATTTCCCTCTTGGTGGAAAAGGAGTAGGAGGAAAAGCTGTAGTTCTTGCTATCAAAGGACCAGGCTAGGAGCAGCTACTACCACCGGTTTCTTGTTTAGCCATATTGCTTTCTACTGACCATGTTGCCGTTAGCCAGGGGGCTTTCCCAGAAGATGCCTGTTTGGATACCTGCCCAAGGAATTGAAGAGTCATTCACAGTGTTGACAGTGGTGTGTTTCTTGGTTTGCAGGTTGGTGAACTAGTCAAGGTCACCAAGATTAACATGAGTGGCCAGTGGGAAGGAGAGTGCAATGGCAGGCGTGGCCATTTCCCATTCACACATGTCCGGATGCTGGATCAACAGAATCCTGAAGAGGACTTCAGCTGAAAAGGACCCCACTTCTGCCTACGGATGGGAGCAAGCACCTGGAGTTTCATTGCTGCAGCAATGGAGACTGTTTCTTGAGAAATCAAAAGTAGGGTTGTTTCTGCCAGCATTCTGGTATCCATGATGAACTGTCCCTGGGACACAGCACTCATGAGGTGCTTGTGATTTCAGGGCACGGCTTCTGTGCCAAGAGGTAGGTCAAAGACATTACATTCCCCCCTCCCCCAAGAGTAGGACAAGAATGCTACCCAGGGCTGTGGAGCTCAGGCTTTGCGAGTTGCATGGCTTTCTCTGTAGGTAGATAATAACCTGATTGGCTTGATAGGACATTCATGGCTTGCTAGCCTAAATATTCCTCTGGATCTGATATATATTGCAATTTCTGTCTCATAACTGCTTGTTGCAAAATGAGTACACTATGCACCGCTCTGGTCTATTTTCTAAGTGTATTTTGATACTGGGGTAGCTGGAGCTTAATGATTATATTTTGGATGCATTAGGGCGAAGTCTGCTCATTATTGTGAGTTCCAGAAATTTGTCTTTAGTACAGACATAGCAAGTAGCTGATTTAATTTCAGAGATAGATGTTAATGGATATTAAATATTGGTGGAATGTTAAGCTTCCCTTAAAGTGCAGAGAACTATGTTCATTGTACTTTTTTAATTGCCGACTTGTCTGAGCACTACACTCCAAAGCATTAGCCAACTGTAGGAAGAGATGAGTGCCTGAAAATTTCTTTTTAGTACTTTCTACTTACTCCCTATATCAAGGCAAATATTGCTACGATAAATGAAAATGCCAAATACTTTCTTCTATAAATGGTTGCTTTCAAACTGGTTCAATCTGCAAAGCATTCAGATGGTGATTTCATGAACTTATTTTTAATAAACTAATGAAAATACTAAAATGCTTTTGGATTGATTCTAAAACGTGAATAGTTTATACACACAATATCTTTCCACTACTCATGACTTGAACAAACCTGATTTTTCTACTAACGTTTCCCAGACTGCTTGTTGCCAAGTTTCTTTTTAACTTAATATTGCTAGAAAAATAATAACCTTTAAGCAACAAGATTTCCTTTGCTTATCAAAATGTGCCTGCCCGATACTCTTCCCAGGAATGAACTGCAGGTATGTAATACACCATCTCCTATCCCATTAATGAAGGAGGAAAATGTCCTTTACTGCTTATGTAATAGTGCCATTCTGTTCTTGCTTTAAGAATATTGAAATGGCTAGATCCCACTTACCTGTCAGGGAAATCCCATGCGCCCCTCCCCCCCAATAATCAATTAGAATATGAACAAAGCTGTGGATAGGTCAATCCCTATATTTACATATAGTTGCATTACCCATAAAGGGCTGGGTCTAAGTATATTTTGCAGGGGAGTTGGCAGTGGATTATGGAATGTACTACCCAATCATCCTTAGTTGTTAAGTCAGCTTTTCAACATAATGGAAGTGTGTAGATCCCAATTTCTATGGATCCACAGATGGGAATGGTCCATTCCCTAGTAAAATGGTTATCCATTGGTGACACTATGCAAAGCACTGCCGCCCAGTGGATCACATAGGCTGGGAGATTAGATTTGTTCAGAGAACTGAGTGCTTAGCACAAAGTCTCAACTACATTTCTCAAGGTCTTAGGAAAGGCAGCAGTGCCACCAGTTGCCTTTTTTGACTAGCTGTGGGAATTTGTTTTATGGGAAGCTCAGTAGAGATTGTAAGATTTGTTTCCCTGAAAATGACTTTTCCTAATGTATTCTTGGAAACCAGATAATCTCCAATTGAGGTTGGTTGATTTTCTGTATTCTTGCAGGAAGTACCTCTTAAAGAGATATACAGAAGTTTTATTTAACAGGATACGCTGCATTAAAGTAGAAATATAGTTTATTATAATACATTTCTGCTTAGGCTCTGCCAAGTTGGCAGCATTAGAAACACAAGGGCAATGTTTTTATTGTAAGTAATGTTGGAAATTCCTGTGACCAATTCTGCAATGTGGATCCTTCAGAATTCCTGGAATGATACTGAAACCCTGTGGTTTGTTGAATTTTGACCAGTCATTGTGATTTATAAACCATATTGCTTGTGTACTACAAAACTAATAAATTTTGTTTTATTCACTAAACCATGACAGTATAGTATGTAAAACTATTCAATATGTTCATGTATTATGCTTTGCTTTTGGTTTAATGTGTGAATCATCCCATTGGAGTTTATTCAGCAAATCAACTACAGAAGAACAAATGTATTATTCCAATATTCATATTTCAACCACTTTATTTCAGTTTTCAAAGTATGGTTGCAATATTATCACCCTTCCTCTTCATCTAGTATCATCAGGGGCATTTGCTTCTTACTGTAATGAAGCAACTGCTTTGCTTGAAGATCTCCTAGGCAGTTAATTTTGGGTAGTTAGCTTTCCCCTGAATTAGAGTGACCTGGCACTGGTCACTATTTTTATTTTGTGATGCATTTTTGCATAGTATTACACTACTCAGTTTAAATGGGTTATTTCTTTCTAGCTAGCATTTTAGTCAAGCCCAACATTTCAGAATGCAACCCGATGTCATCAAAGCTTGTTAATCTATTATAACTGCAAGTATTTTAATCATTTTTAATAACATGCTGTCGGATTGAAAAATGCTGTACACAAATAAAGCAAAAGCATATATAAAATGTGCCCTGTATTATATAACACTACACACTTTCTTGACAGTTATTTTTTGTAGCCTGTAATCAACATGTGTATAATATGTGGCGTAAATAAAAATTGCAAAAGTGGAATTTGTGATTCATTGCCTTAACAATGTAAGTGCATGGATAGGCAGTGGGTGGGCTGATTTTAAAGGCGCACCATATTGTTCAAAGAAACATTTTTTAAAATTATTTTATTGTTTTTAGAATAGTGACAAAAAGAAGTGAAAAAAGAACAAAATACAAAGAAAAATACATACACTATCAAAGAAAAATGCATTTTTTAAAAAAGTGAAGTAAAATACAGCAAAGAAAAAATATCATTTTAATAGTAAAGTAACAACTTTATTATATAGTTATCTAGTGCAGGCCATGACAGTCCCGAAGAAGCGCTGATCCTGGGGCATCCACTCAGCCCTGACAGCCCTGCAGCTCCAGTCATCTCTCGCTCAGGCTTATGTGGTGCTGCCACCGGTTCAGCTCATTCCCCTCCCCCGCTACCACTTTTCTAGGATGGTCGCGTACCACCTGCCAGGTGCCAATGTACTACAGGTGGTACCCGTACCACTGGTTGAAAAGCCCTGATCTAGTGCAATTATAAATACAAATTTGAGTGATATTAAATGACAAGATCAGTTGCTGCAGAACCACAAAGATTTAATCAATTGCTCTGAGAAGCACTGCCAGTTTAAATCTGTAGTAAAAGCGAACTTCCGGTGGTGACAGCTGGCATCGCATGGCGGCTTTTTTAGCCGCCCGTCCGGGAGCGTGTAAAAGCTTGAAGAGACAGCGTCTGCCAGCTGTCTCTCGGCTAGGAACCTCGTCCCTCGGGCAAAGAGGGGGAGGTGAGTGAGTCCGGATAGGGCTAGAACTTCCTTTTGCCCCGGTTTTGTCTTAATCCGGGATGAAAGATGCTAGCTCGCCCGGAGTCTGGACAATCTCCGCGCCCCGAGACGCCTTCGCTCCTTGCTTGTGGAGCGAAGCCAGATGCAGCTCCCACCTCTGTGATCGAAGATATTTGATTTAAAATTATAAACAGACAGAACTGAACAGGAGGCTGGAATTGTAATGGATTTATTGGGACTTTAACTTTGAAAATTATCAACATCTTTATTTACTGAGAATTTAAAGTGAGAGAAAATGGCTGCGGATCTGCCGTTTCTCTGGATTACTTTCGCTTTTCACTTTTACTCTCGTCTGGCTATCAACAGGATAAAGATACATTGTTGCTTCTCCGGTTCTGGAAAGTTTTAAACACAATGAATTTATGATGCTTACTGATTGGTGACATTAATATTGTTACTCTTTTTGATGATACTTAA